ACAGTAAAATCCTCTATTCAACCCAAGATAAGCCTATTAGGGGGTACACAAAGAAAATTATTAACCCCACTAATAGATGAAAAACAATAAAATCATCTATTCAACCCAAGATTGAAAATGTTACGAAAGAAGTCGAAAAAGAGCAAATAAACTGATTTTCCTGGATTTTTCCAGTTTTTTCCCATTTTCCAAATAAAAAAAATTATTTCTACATGCAGGACATTCCAGAATATCAAAAAACACATTAAAAAATAATATAATTTAAAATAAACAAAAAAAAGAAATTTTTTGAAAGTTAGTCCATCCCTGGGATTCGAACCCAGAACCCCTCCCTCTAGCAGCGAACTTGCTTGTCTGGAGGCCTACCTTCCAGTCCACGGTGATACGTGTAGCCTACCACAGTTTCGCTTCAAAAGCTCTCTCCTCTCATCTTTGCAATATATCTCTGTAATTGGCCTATAAAAATTCTCTTCGGCATCCATGTTTGGACCATAGAACCCTACTTAGGGTCCGAATTTGAAAATTATATCTTGATATTAAAGAGAGCTAGGGGGTCTCGAAATTTGAACCTTTCTCGAGCCGCTTTATTTTTTTATTCTTTTTTTTTATTATTCCATTACGCTTTCTTTGCTGGATTTCACACACAGAAAACACCCTATGCATACTAGAATATCCAAAATGTTACAAAAGAAGTCGAAAAAGAGCAAATAAACTGATTTTCCTGGATTTTTCCAGTTTTTTCCCATTTTCTCAATAAAAAAAAATTATTTCCTACATGCAGGACCCTCCAGAATATCGAAAAACACATTGAAAAAATAATATAATTTAAAATAAATGAAAAAAAAAGAAAATTTTTTGAAAACTTTTCCGTCCCTGGGTTTGAACCCAGGACCCCTCCCTCACGCAGCGAACTTGCTTGTCTGGTGGCCTACCATCCAGTCCACAGTGATACGTGAAGCCTACCACAGTTTCGCTTAAAAAGCTCTCTCCTCTCATCTTCACAATATACCTTTAGGGGTCCACTGAGACCCCCCTAATTGGCCTATAAAAATTCTCTTCGGCATCCATGTTTGGACCATAGACCCCTACTTAGGGTCCGAATTTGAAAATTATACCTTGATATTAAAGGGAGCTAGGGGGTCTCGAAATTTGAACCTTTCTCGTGCCATTTTATTTTTTCTATTCTTTTTTTAACTATTCCATTACGCTTTCTTCGCTGGACTTCACACACAGAAAACACACCATGCATGCTAGAATATCCAAAATGTTACAAAAGAAGTCGAAAAAGAGCAAATAAATGATTCTCCTGGATTTTTCCAGTTTTTTCCCTTTTTCCCAATAAAAAATATTATTTCCCACATGCAGGACCCTCCAGAATATCGAAAAACACATTTAAAAAATAATATAATTTAAAATTAACAGAAAAAAAAATTCTTATGATATTATTTTTTTAAACTTCTTTTACAATATTTTCACGATAGTTTAGCATACGAAATGTGTTCGGCGTTTAAAATCAAGTGTCTTTCTTGGTGAAAGAACGCATAATGGAATAAAAAATAAAATATAATGGCGGGATAAAGGTTCAAATTTCAAGTTCGTCTAACTTCCTTTAATATTAAGCTATAATTTTCAAACTCAGACGAAACGTTGGCCTCTATAAGCCGAACCACCCTACAAAGGAAAATTTTTATAGAACAAATAGAGGGGCCACAAAGGCCCCTCAAATCTTTTGTTTATATAACCGGGAGAGGGTACTTGAATCTATGTAGTAGCCCGATCCCCGTGTAAACGTGGTTCAACGGCTAAGACCGCGTGCTAGTGACTTAAGCCTTAAGCGAGGGGTTGCAGGTTCGAACCCTGGCTGAGGTAAATTTCTAAAATTTTTTATATTCTTTTCTTCTGTTTTTTTACATTATATTATTTATCTAATGTGTTTTTCGATATATTAAAGAATCCTATACATTAAAATAATTTTTTTATTCGGGAAATTTCAAATAATATTTAAAAACTTGAAAAATCCCGGAAAATCAGTTTATTTTTATTATATTATTTTTTTAAACTTCTTTTACAATATTTTCACGATAGTTCAGCATGCGAAATGTGTTCTGTGTTTGAAGTCAAGCGTCTTTCTTGGTGAAAGAGCGCATAATGGAATAAAAAATAAAATAAAATGGCGTGATAAAGATTTAAATTTCAAGTTCGTCTAACTCCCTTTAATATTAAGCTATAATTTTCAAACTCAGACGAAGCGTTGGCCACTATGAGCCGAAACACCCTATAAAGGAAAATTTTTATAGACCAATTAGAAAGGCCACAAAGGCCCCTTAAGTCTTTTGTTTATAACCGGGAGAGGGTACTTGAATCTATGTAGTAGCCCGATCCACGTATAAACGAGTATAAGGTTTTTTTATAGACCAATTAGTGGGCCCACAATGAGCCAAAGTATGTTTTGTTTACTAGCCGGGAAGAGGTGTTTAAAGCTAAACATTCGCAGGGCAGGCATGTGAAGTATGGCGCATTCGGTAAAGCCGTGTGGCAAGTTAGATTTGTTGTCCATGGGGCAATGGGTTCGAAACCCTGCACGGGTCGACATTTAAATTTTTTCTTTTTTTTATATAATTTTTTTAAATACATATTTTGATATTTTAACGTGAATTAAGTGTTCCGTATATAAAAACAAACTATTTTTTCTTTGGGAAATAGCGAATAATATCTAATAAACGGACAAATTTCGGATAATTTTTATTTATTTATTTATTTTAATTTATGTTATTTTTTAACTTCTTTTCAATATTTTAAAGCGAATAAAGTGTTCTCTATGCGAAAAGAATTATTTTTCTTTGTAAAAGGACGAATAATGGCTGAAAAAGGGACAGAAGTCATATCAGGAGGCACGCACACATCACACCTCGTAACTCTCTATAATATTCACCTATAAATTTCAAACTCCGCCCAAGCTTAGAGTTTAATGTAACGAACTATTGTACTGAAAGTTTTTTTTATAGACCAATTAGTGGGCCCTCAATGGGCCAAAATATGTTTTGTGTACTAGCCGGGAGGAGGTGTTTAAAGCTAAACATTCGCAGGGCAGGCATGTGAAGCATGGCGCATTCGGTAACGCCATGTTTCAAGTTAGATTTGTTGTCCATGGGGCCATGGGTTCGAAACCCTGCACAGGTCGGCATTCAAATTTTTTCTTTTTTTTATATAATTTTTTTAAATATATTTTTTGATATTTTAACGTGAATTAAGTATTCCGTATATATTAAAAAACTATTTTTTCTCTGGGAAATAGCGAATAATATCTAATAAACGGAAAAATTTCGGATAATTTTTTATTTTTTTTTATTTTAATTTATGTTATTTTTTTGAACTTCTTTTCAATATTTTAAAGCGAATAAAGTGTTCACTATGCGAAAATAATTATTTTTCTTTGTTAAAGGGCGAATAATGGCTGAAAAAGGGACAGAAGTCATATCAGGAGGCACGCACACATCACACCCCGTAACTCTCTATAATATTAGCATATAAATTTCAATCTCCGCCCAAATTTAGAGTTTAATGTATCGAACTATTGTACTGAAGGTTTTTTTTATAGACCAATTAGTGGGCCCACATTGAGCCAAAGTATGTTTTGTTTACTAGCCGTGAGGAGGTGTTTAAAGCTAAACATTCGCAGGGCAGGCATGAGAAGAATGGCGCATTCGGTAAAGCCGTGTGGCAAGTTAGATTTGTTGTCCATGGGGCCATGGGCTCGAAACCCTGCACGGGTCGAAATTTAAATTTTTTCTTTTTTTTATATAATTAATGGTACAGTTATGTTTAGATTTGAACCGAAATTACAATAACAAAACTGCATAGAATATTAGGCTTGTTCACACATCGCCTCGTAGTCAGAACATAAGCGGAGGGATACACCGGAAATTTTCTACATTTCTTCCGGTTTAAGGACGCTTGTTATTGTTTACATTAGACCACCCATCCATTATGTCCGACAATGCAAAAAAGAAGAAAGAAAATGCATTTTGGGCTTCTGAGGGCCCCTGCTCCGAATAAAACTTTAAAAAAAGAGGAGGGAAAGTAGGATCTAGAGGGCCCTTGTCATCTCGGGGCCCCTAGCTACAGCTTATTTATCTTATACGTAAATCCGGCCTTTGCCTGGCAGTATTGGGTTCAAAATTACAAGGTTACGGAGTTGAACATCCACATTCGTAAACACCACGAAAAAAATTGGGTCGGCTGTTCAACGACAGCTATAATACAGAGAAGTGTGGCTGAGAGTATAGAGCACTTGCCTCTAAATGAGGTGACCTGAGTTCGATCCCAATGATAGATGCTCGATTCGAACTACGCCCCCAGCTTACACCGACCACAGTTCAAGTGAAAAATATCCTCCGTGGTAAACGGGTCACGGGTTAGACTAAACACATGCCGTCAGGCTAACCGTGTAAGGTTTCCCCTCCCATGTAATGCAAATGTAGGTTATGCACTGCAAAAAATCCTCCACGAAAGTAAAATTCTCCCCAATACTTGATCTAGGAGTTCCCTTATCTTCTTGATTGGGTTCAAAATTACAAGGCTACAGAGTTGAACATTAGTAGTCGTAAACCCTAAAATTGGATCGGCTGTTCAACGATGGTAATAAAATAAAATACTGAGAAGGACAGTACGAAGATAAATCCAGGGTAAAAGACGGATTCAAACAAGCTAACTCTACTCTTAGAATTATATTATTTATTCTAATTTCCGCTCTTCTAATTCGTGCTTTATTCTAATTCGTACTAACTCTACTCTTAGAATTATATTATTTATTTTAATTTCTGCTCTTTTTTTAAAGATGTTAACCAAATTGTTTGCCGCGCACTGCTATCTTACCTTTATAAAAAAAAAACTAATAACGGAAAGAAAACTAGTAAGCTATAAGCGTAAAAATATTTTCCCACTATCCTTCGAAACTGATTTAATGTCAACAATTTTTTTTTATTAGCATTTGAATTGTTGACATAGTTACGAAAAGAGAATTTTTGAATTAAAAAAATTCGACTAAAATAAAAAAAGTTCTTTGAAACTACAAATTTCGGGGTGCACAACCTTTTTTAATACTTGCTCTGCATGTTGACTAGTGATAGGTTGCATGTTATAGTAATTTTTATATAAATATTACGTCCAGAAACGAAATTATCTGCAGAAAGTAGTATTTCAATTTTTGCTTTATTTAGGTCGATAGTTCACTTGTTATTATTGAGCTAGTTTTAGTTTAAAATTTACTATAAAAGCTCTCTTTTTATGTTGAAGTTTTATTTGGAGAAAAATTATTGAATTGTGTAGGATATTGTAAATGGCGTAAACCTATTTGGTGTAGTAAATATATTTCATATGGTTTTGTAACGAAGTAAACAAGAAACTTACTCATTAGTAAGAGTTAATAAAACTGAAATAATTCATTTGCTAGTTTAAAACAGTGCTTAACATTCAAGAAACCAGTTTATTTATTTTCTTGATAAGTTTGTGTGTATTGTGTAATACTTAGCTTTGTTGATCTGAAATGTTCTAATGTTTTTAAACGATACTTCTCAGAATTCCAATTGCTATTTTTAATTGGAATATTATCTTTTTTTCATTGTTTTGTAACTTTTATATTAAGATACAAAGTCTGTGGTGCTCATTCTAGACCTTAATAAGGGCAGGGCGTTGGAAACTGGAAAGAGCCCCCCAAAAAAGGGCACCCATCATAAAAAAGAGCATTATTTACAAATATTTGCTTGACTTTTAAGACACCCAAATTATAAAAAGTTTTTAATTTTATCACTAAAAATTTTTTTTTCTCGAGATAATTAGTTTAAGTTTTAAAAAAATTATTCCTTAGTTAAATTGGTACTTTCTATAAATTGGTTTTAAAGTGAACTTAATTATCAAAGTTTGAAGCTCATGAAAAAATATCTATTTGGTTCGAGAGTTGGTGTGAAATTTACATTTTTTTAAAATCCTCAGATTGTTTTTCTTTTCATGCTGATAACTATGCTTGAAAATAGAGGTTGAGATGGGTTAGGCTTTTGTGGTTGGAATGTAATAGTATTTAGTTCGGAGAAAAGAAGATTGTAATCAAAACCTGACAAATTATTAACAGAGAATGCAAGATTAAAAGCATAACTTGTTGAGTTAACAGAGAATTTATAAGAAGAATGGAATTTTAAAAAGAACTTGTCAAATTTCATCAAACAATGAAACTACTTGTATTTTTTTATCTTGCCTTCATCAACTGTTATTCATCAGATTTTCTTTTAGCATTTATCAAGAATTCCGAAAATATAAATTATGAAGGGTCATTAGATAATACTGTTATCAACAACCTTTTAATTGTTCAAACTTTCATTAATTTAATTTTTTTCTCTCAATATATTCACTATTGTAATATTTTTTTATAATCTCATAATAATGGTAATACAATCTAATAATAATGCTAATATAATCTGATAATGATTTATGTTTATAAAATTGCTTAGAAAAACTAATTTTTTTCTAAATTATCATTTAGTTTTAAAGATAACTTTATTTGCAGCTTTGTGATGAGGTTTTTAGAACAAAATGGGTGGTCTGGATTATTGAACTTCTTACTCAGTATGGATTACAATACAGCAGAAAGTCTTATTCACACCTCACTAATAAAGTGAGTGAAAGCACTCATGAATAATTCTGTAAGTATATTGTGTATTTTAACATTTCAAGAAAGTTGAATAAAAAGTTCAACTGCTAAAGAGACTGGAGCATATTTTTTAATACCAATCAACAGTATAAATAAATCTATAATACAGTCGGACCTCTATTTAACGAAGTCACTAAATCCAGATGAAAAGTTCGTTATTTAGAAAATTCGTTAAATAGAAAATCACCTTTTAAAATACTTCAGCAACACAGGGCTGATTGTGCTCCGGAAAAAATCCGGATTTCCGGAATTTTCGCCAACAGTGATCCGGAGATCGAAGGTCCAGACGTTTCAAAAAACCATCGATCACAGAAGTTTCCGGAAATCAAATTTTCAAAGGCGGAACTTAAAAACACAATTTATTTTATTTGTTTGTAAGGGAGAGCCAGAGATACTTTATAAGCTCATATTCATGATTAATTTTCATTTTTTATCAGTAAATAGTTGTTATAATCATAAACTCAAGAAAGAAAGACATATTTGTAAATTTTAATTACTTCTCCAGGTATGTGTAAATGGTATAGGTATGTGTAAAATTTTAAATATTTTAAGTAAACTAAGAAATATTGAGAAAAAGGAAAAAAAAAACTTGTTTTAATTTTTTTCTAATTTTTCAATTAACTGTTCTTTTTTTTTTAACTCAATGAATTTTCCGGAATTTTGACTTGGGCTCACAATCACCACTGGCAACACAAAACAGGTTTTAAATTCATAAACACTAGACATAATTAAAATAGCAATTAATGTACTTTCATCTTGTAAACTGGTATCTGCTATTTATTTTATGAATCTTAACCATAAAAGAAATCTGAAAGGAAAGCAAGAATAGAGCAAAAGATTATCCAGTGTTGCACAATCATGCTATATACATTTTCAGCTAAAAAAAAGGCTAAATTTATGCGTAAAATTATAGCTGCATTTATTATAAAAGTAATTTTAAACATACATCACCACATGCGTTCTTAAGTTTAATTGCTACGGATAAAATCAGTTAATTTGAACTGAGTTTTTCGTTAGAAATGCAAACAAAAAGGGAAATTACTGCTTTCTCTAAGATAAATTTTAGAGAAAACGGTAATACATTTCATAAAGCAATGGCTTCGAAAATTAATTCAGGGTCATTTCCCCCATAAAATGCGTTAACAAGTTTGAAATGTTAAGAAATATTTTGGAAAATAGGGAAAGTGGAACTCAATGAAAAGTTCGTTAATTAGAAAATTCACTTCGCTATTTGGAAGTTATTTTACAAAGAAATTTCCAAAATGTTCTTTGTTCCTCGAAATAATTCGTGAAATAGAGAAATTCGTAAAATGGAAGTTCGTTAAATAGAAGTCTGTCTGTATTTTACAAACAGATCATCTTTTCATGAAATGTTTTACAGAGCTTCTTGAGCTTGAATAAGAATCGCTATATTAGCAGATTCTGGTGCAGTTCCAAATGTTCAAAATGGCGAAAATCAGCCAAATAAAAAGGTTCCAATTGGCGGATTTAGTCTCATTAGCGGGAATTAGCAAAAGTTAAAAAATTTGAATTTTAGTTTGAGGAATTCCGTGAAAAATTCGTTCTATGTATAAGTTTCTGGTTAACGAAAGTCCGAGTACTTATAGTCTTGGGAAACTCGGAATTCCCCGATATTCCCAGAAAAATGACATGTCCTGCTCCCAATTTTTAGACCTCTTGAGGATATTTCGAAAAGCATGGAATTCCGGGATACAATCATCCCTGAATTGAGAATAAAGTCGTTAATTCAGTAATATATTGGTGGAAAAAATTATTATATTGTAAAAATATTACCAAGAAAACAATATTTAATTGAAACTAAGATATTACATACTTTTTAATGATCCAGTCAAATTAGAAATTTCTTTCTGTAAAATGAGAACTTTTCCCTCCCCAAAATATGACTTAGTTGTGCCCCTGTCTGAAAGTTTAAGGCCATATTAGAAAGCAATGTAGCTCATGTTTTTTATTTTATTAATAATCACAATGTATTTCAAATGCAGTATAGTAGGATAAATGTATATTAGAATAAATATTAAATGTTTGAATGATTTTAAATATTAAAGATTAGCTACTGAAGAAGAAGTAAAGCTAGCTAACAGTAAAGCTGAAACCTTAGAACAAGAATATATTGAATTATCTGATCAATTATCCAAAAAAGAACAAGAACTGGAGCAATCTCCACAGGAAAAAGTAAGCTGTGTTTGTTACTTATTAAATTTATTTATATATTGCCAGGTCTAATAAAATTGAATTTCTTTTAGGAAGATCTGCAGTCATCTTTAAACAAAATGAACGTGAAGCTCGAAGAAGAGACTGTGGGACACTTGGAGTCCGAATAAGAAATTTCAGAATTAGAATATCAAAGTAGTATGTTTATCTTTAAAGTTTAGATATTCTTTAATAAACCATGTATCTGATTTTTTAAATCTTCATTTAATTTGCAGAATTTATTAGTAAAATCATATTAAATATATCAATTTTTCTGTATAAGAAGAGAAACAGTTTTACAATACAAATTAAAATGCAAACTTTTTATGTATAGGCATTTACAAAACAGTTTTCTTGTTTATCCTTGTAGATTTAAGAAAATTCACATTTTTTTCATAAATCCCTGATTTATTTTTTGAAAATTCAGGAATTTAAAATTTTTCTCTCTCTAAATCACTATAAATCATTTGTTTAGTAAAAAGGTTTAGAATATGTTTTTGAATTAATTTATGTATATTTAATGTGCATCATCTTAAGGCAGTCAGCTTGTAGAAGTAAGCTTAACTTTGGCTTTTCTAATGTGAACTTATAACTGCTTTAATTTATTTTGAAATGTGTTACTTATGTACAAGACCTTTCACAAACTTTTTTTAAATTTTTTTAATTTAATATTATTTTGCTTTTAATCTGCAAGCTAATTTATTTAATTCATCTCTCTCTAAATTGGTACAAAAGTTTTCTGTATGCATGCATTGTATGTACTTAGCAAAATATACATTAAATGATTTTATTTTTATCATTATGTTAATAGCTATAAAAAAGAATGTGGTTTACTTTATGTACATAAATTTTCACATGATGGCCTGCTTAAAAAGAAAAATTCCAAATCCCCAAGAATATTGATAGAAAATTAAGTTTAACAAACTGAGCAATAACATTAAACAATCCTTGTTACTTTTATGACGAATATAATTTTAAGTATTAGTTATAAAGTATAGTTAGTTATAAAATTAGTTATATAAAGCAAGTTAGTTATAAAATATGTGTGTAAAAATTTGTTCGAGTTATCAGTCTAGTCAACGTAAAAGATATAGCTCCAATAAATTATTTTGAAACTTTGTAGATACATTCATTTATCTTTAGACTTAAAAATTGTTTCTTGGTAGAAATAAAGAAACATTCATGTAAAAAGAAGGCATAAGAGATGATTTCAATGAAAGCTAAGTTTCCTTCTTAGCTTCATGGAGTTTTATGATTTCTTAGCTGCAAACTTTACTGCATCAAAAAATCAGTCCCTCCCCCTTGTTATTCAGAGTGGCTACCAGGGTTCATTGATTTAAATTAAATGATTTTTTTTAAAAAAAAATCATTTATTTAAATCAACTGATTTTTTTAAAATATTTATATTGATTTTAAAAGTTAAAAAACAATGTTTTAAATTATTGATACTTTTATTATTTTCTTTTCTTAGTTTTAAAATTTCTTTTAAATAAATTGCTGTGTTAATTAATTTTAGTTAACGAAATTACTTTCTTTCTTGGTGTGTGTTAAATTCCAACACATTTGAAATTACATTTTTAAAAATCTTTTGATTCTTGAGATTGAACGTGCAGATTAAAGTACGCATTTAATATTGTCTTAATATAGACTTGCATAGCTGTAGAAAGTAATTAATAGACATTGTGATATTATGTATAATTCTTTCCTCCTTTTCCCTTCTTCACTCAGATACTTCCCAAAATCACAATTGGCCAAATAAATGGTAACCAGCTAACAACACAAATATTTATTAACAAAGAAAAAAAAAAGAAGTTTGAAGAAATTTAATATAACCAATACACCTAAACAGTTCGCTTCCGCTCTCCATCAGAGCGTTCCCTCCTCTGTCTTTTTACAACATCTACCTTGATGACAGCGCCATCACAACATGGAGGCATACCAGACATGAATTTCGAAGAAAAAAAATGCGAATAATCTTAATTAAAATTCCACCTTTTGATTGAAACAGCATGGTATTAAAATCTACATTATATTTTATTAGAGAAAAATGTATATTTCTAAAGCTTGGAGTTATATTAAAAAGAATTATACCCTAATATGCCAAAAATAGAAAAAAAAAGGATAATGAATTCAGATATTTTTTCCTGATATAGTGTCATTCTTCCCTTTCAAAGTCTATTTGAGGCATTAAAGTTATTAACTGGTAATTTTTTCTCATAATATGTTTACAGTAATACGTCTCATAATATGTTTACATAATATGTTCTCATAATATGTTCCTGATATGTTTACAGTATCTTTGACATTATCAGATTTTCTATAAAGAAATTTTGTGAAAAAAAATTCCAATGAGTGCATAGATTCTTTAAAAAAAATTCTTTAGCTGGTCTATTTTGATATAGAATTAAAAATGAATATTTTAATATGAAAATATTGATGAGTGACTACATTTATAAACACAATCTGTTACATTTATTTTGTCATATTAAAAATCAAGAGAAAAAAAACACAATTTTAAATTAAAATTATGGTTTGCTAATTGAAACTTAAATTTAATAGTTAAAGTGTCTGCCCAAGCCAAATTTGCTACTGCTTAGGGTACCTTCACAAATTCAACTTTAGGAAAAACGATAATTTCACAGAATACTTTTTTTTTAAATTTTATTTTTGTGTTTTGTATGAAATGAATAAATCCATATTTGTGTGTTGATTTTTTAATGTTATTTTTAATTTTCACAAATTATGTCTAAACTTTCACAAAATAAATAGCTCTCAGAAAAAACTAGACAGACCCCTTTCATTAAATTCTCTATTTCATCTAGTCTTCAAATTTCAATTATGCATTTGTTTCAAAATGATTGCTATGCATTCAAAGCCATGTATTATAATGAAATATTATATTAGTAAGTTAGAGCTTCTAAATTATTGTTATAATATTGCTTTCATATTAATTTAATTTTGATTAAACATTTATAAAGGTTTTTTAATCATAAATTAAAGTTCTTACAATTAATTTGAATAAAAATCAAGAAAATCTGATTTAAATCAAAAAAATCACAAACCCTGGTGGCCATCCACCTGGAAAACCTGGAATAATCAGGGAATTTTTTATACTGGAAAAAATCTGGAAAGGTCAGGGAAATTTGGATAAAATCCTGGAAAAATGAGGTAATTTCAAAGAAAAGCTGGAATTTTTCTCTTAATTTAAATTATTTTACCATCCTTTCTATCAACTTTTATTTAGACGTAAATTTATTGTAAAAAAGTTGAAATATCATCAACTTTTCTTGAATAAAAATTCTCTTCCTTATTACCCTGCTAAACTAGAATGCCGTTTCAAACTCTTTTATGTTGGGAAATGAATGGAGAAATCTTTGACCTCTTTGGAGATTATGAGACTATGTAGTTTAAGAACGGCAAAAATGTGGAAGAAAGGATTAGGATATTTGCTTCTGTTTACGAAGGTAGCGTTTTTTTGTTATAAATCTTCTTTTAGTGTGTGGGCTGAATTCATTAATTGTTCAAGTTTGTTCCGATGGTTCGGGGGATTTTTATCTTGCACTCTTTTTCTGAAAGCCATTCTCCAATGAATTATTTTTCTCAGCAAAGCCAACCAATCGCTAATAGCAAAATTGTTGCATTGATGTTGATTTTCTGGATTTCATGACAACTTTTACCCTAAAAGGCTGACAAAAACCAAGGAATTTATGGAAAACATGTTTAATCATATATAAACTTAGAATGGAATTTTTTTATTTATTTATATTTGTTTATTCGAAAGAAGCAAAACAAAACTTTTTTTTGTTGTTCTGCACTGTACAGGGACAGGATTCAAGTTGGGTACTATGAGAAAACCCTACCTTACCACACGCAAAATAATTTTTCTTTGTATCAGCTTTCTCCTTTCGCTTAAACTGTTCTTCCCTTGTGGGTTTCATATGTCAGTTGAAAAAATTCAGTTATTTGCTATGGATTCTCTGATATTTTCTAATTAGTCTGACTCTTTTTAGGTTTCTTTTCTTTAATGTTTTTCTATTTTTTTTAAAGTTTCTGCGAACTTAAGTTTACTTGGAATTTGAATATTTTAAAAAAAGTTTTGCATTATAACTAAATAAATGATCAATTTAAATTAATTTCTAATAGTTGAGGCCCCTAGTTACCTATCAGCTACTGGTTCTTTTTCCCATTGATGCAGTCTTCTTTTTTTTTTTTTAAACACAACATAACCAAAGTATATTAAATAACATAAGAAAATCAGTAAAATATAACGTTATCATGCACAACTTCTGAAATTAGAAAGATACAGAAAGTTTGTTGTGTGCATTAGTTTTGATGCTATATAATGTTAGATTTTATGTTCTGATATTAATTTGCGTTGCTTTTTATTTTTTTTGGAGTAAGCAAGAGGAAGATTCGGATGGTTGTAGAATAATTTGGTGATATAGTTTTACTAAATTTTCTGTATTGCTGTTAAACACTAAAACATCGAACAATAGTTTATATAATGTCATTCCATGCATTATTTACTTTGAAATATGGAAATACTGAATAAAGTTATATTAGTGAATTCCAGTACCATCCATTTTCCTCCCTCTTACTCCAAAGTATATCTTATGTTCTTATGTTGTATTATGATTTTTTTTTAATACTTCAAATTTATTTAAGAAATAATACTATATCTCAAATTTTATTGATATTTTTTTTCTTTTCTTCATGCAATGAGTTTTCTGACGAATTGTAATATCATTAATAATTTTCAAGTCTTTAATTTTAAAATGTACTCTTAATTTTTTTTTTAAAAAAACTGGGTTTATTTTATTAAAATCTTAGTTTAATTTGTTAGTTTGTAATATATATTTTTTTTAAATGNTATTTTAAAAAAAGTTTTGCATTATAACTAAATAAATGATCAATTTAAATTAATTTCTAATAGTTGAGGTCCCTAGTTACCTATCAGCTACTGGTTCTTTTTCCCATTGATGCAGTCTTCTTTTTTTTTTTAAACACAACATAACCAAAGTATATTAGATAACATAAGAAAATCAGTAAAATATAACGTTATCATGCACAACTTCTGAAATTAGAAAGATACAAAAAGTTTGTTGTGTGCATTAGTTTTGATGCTATATAATGTTAGATTTTATGTTCTGATATTAATTTGCGTTGCTTTTTATTTTTTGGAGTAGGCAAGAGGAAGATTCGGATGGTTGTAGAATAATTTGGTGATATAGTTTTACTAAATTTTCTGTATTGCTGTTAAACACTAAAACATAGAACAATAGTTTATATAATGTCATTCCATGCATTATTTACTTAGAAATATGGAAATACTGAATAAAATTATATTAGTGAATTCCAGTACCATCCATTTTCCTCCCTCTTACTCCAAAGTATGTCTTATGTTCTTATGTTATATTATGATTTTTTTTAATACTTCAAATTTATTTAAGAAATAATACAATATCTCAACTTTTATTGATATTTTTTTTCTTTTCTTCATGCAATGAGTTTTCTGACGAATTGTATATCATTAATAATTTTCAAGTCTTTAATTTTAAAATTTATGTTTTTTTTAGAAAGGATCCTATTTAATCAAAATCTCAATAGAATTTTTTAGTTTGTAAAACATGCTTTAAAAGAGTCGTAACTTCCACCATTTGTAATTTCAAAATTGTCATTCATTGTTTATATTCTGAAACTATGTAATAATAAGCCACATATATAATTACAAAGTTAAATTTACATTTGAATTAGTTGAAAACTTCCCTGAGAAATTTTTTTTCTCTTAAAATGTATATCATTCATTTCCAAAAATATTAAAATGAAATTGTATCTTAAGTTTTTAAATTGTTATTTTTTGTAATAATTGAGACAATAAAGAAAAATTAAAAATATTCAAATTATTTTATTGCTTTGTTTTCTTGCCATAAACTGTTTTTTTTATAGTAGTAATTGTTCTAGGGAATTTTGAATGTTTTCTTACACTGTGGTAAATTGAACAAATAATTAAAAAGGTTTTTCCATTCCAATGGTAAATTAAAGAAGTTTTTTCATTCTAACTTAAAAATTTGCTATGCTACTTGTTCAGCCATATAGTCAGTAAGTTTTCAGTGAAAAAACTGCCATTTTGTATAGTAACACATAAGAAGAAAAAAAGATTTACAGTACATTGCTTGTACAAATAAGGATCTTTTTCAGAATGTTGTTTAATTCAGTTATCTCCCTGAAACAATTTCTCAAGCAATGCTGATTTTTTTCACCACTTAAGTGACCTCGCTGTTTAACTTAAATTTTAAGTTGCAACTCATATTGCATATAATT